TTTAAACTGTCATACAATTTTTTTCATCGATAGACTGTAATTGGAACCATAACTCTTATTTATTCAAATTGTATTAATATGTAAAGACCAAATGTAACCTATATAATCGTTAAATCTTATCTTATAAAACCAGTGGAACTTCAAAATCGTTAAAATTTATGGCTCCCGCCGCATTGCACAGGTACACAACTAGTTTTTTTATTATAATTAATAAAAATCAACGTGAGGATGAGATAGTTAGCTTGAATAGATTCTAAATTCTTTAAAAAATGCATGTTTCGTTGTTTCATTGACTTAGGGGCATTTTTATTATTTTTGCACAGGGCATCAAAAATATTAGGAACGGCCCTGGCAAGTATAACATGTTAATACTTCAAAATAAACATTTTTGGCATGTACATAGCTTTCGAAAAGCAACTTGAACTCACCTTGCAAGATTTAGGCTAAATCTAGGTTTTACTCCAATCTTGAGCTTTCTTCGATGAAGACATTAGATCCACAAACATCCGCCACTAGGAACTTTATCTAAGTCACAGAGAACCTAAATATACCAAGGGTGGCCGCGGTCATTTAATCGAATCGGTGAGCTGCACTAATAACCGGCCCAATACACTAGCTTGGGCGGCCTTTCCCAAGACTAGGTTGCCCAGGAAGTCGCCCGGACCTTCCGAAGGCTCATATTTCACCATTTTTACCTCATTTTGACCCGACCAACCAATATTAAATAAACACGCTTCAACGATAATTTCCTAAAATTGATACTGAATCCAGTGATAATTCATGCATTTATGAAGTACCCAAATATTTATAAAAATACAGGTGTTGTAGTTACAAACTATATAAATCAATCTCGATCATCCCTTTAGTCTAACGAATATTTGGTTTTATAATTTTATCAACTGTTTTCTAATATAAAGCATTGATCATAATTAATAGACTTTGACGTTCTTCCATAATTATTTAAATTATAATAAATGCAGATTTATCATTTCTATAAATATGTTAATTGATTGGTTTGTATGGTTTATAATCTTTGCATGGTCAATATTTGATTTGTCCTCTTTCTCTCTCTCTCTCTCTCTCTCTCTCTATATATATATATATATATATATAAGAGAGAGAGAACGATAGAGATCATTGGGGGAGACGGTAAAAGAAGATGAGGGTCGAAGCTATGGAGGTAAGAAATGAGAAGGTGGAAGAATCATTCGAGGAGTCGAATTATAAAGGAATCAAGGCTATGAGATATGTCATAGGTAAGAATTCAATGTTAGGTCCGTTTACCAAAATAAATTGGGTAAGCGCCATTTCCAATTATCAAAATGGCATATTAAAATTGTTGGTAAACACCATCATCTATAACCGGTAAGCATTTCTTACACAGTAAGTGACCATGTTAGAGTCATGATCAACCTCACTTAATTACCTTACCGAGTAAAATTCTTGGCCATCAAAATGACATAGTAAGATTGTTGATAAAGGCCATCATCATTAAATGGTAAGCGTCAATTACCAGGTAAGCTTTGATAGTGTAAGAGATACCAACTTCACTTATCGAGTAAGATTCTCTACCAGCAAAATAACACAATAAGATTGTTGGTAACGACTCTTATTTCTATGACCCGTAAGAGGCGATAAGTGTATATTTACTCGATTATAGACAATAAGTGTTCAATAAACCACACTGATTCTTTAAATCTATAAGAAAAATTGTTATAATACTAACATTGTTGTACGAAACGAGACATTTGAGAAGCTAGGAAAGATTGGGACATTGGCAAACATAATGGTGTATTTGACGACAGTATTTAACATGAAATCCCTAGCAGTATTGAACCTCATCAACGTCTTCAGTGGTACTTGCAATTCCAGAACTCTTTTCCGGGATTTTCTCTTAGACACTTATTCCGACCGCTACAACATAATAGGATTTGCCTTCATTTCGTCTTTCGTGGTAGAGGATGTGCTAATCATCTCTGATTATTATTTTCAGCTACACGTCTTACTTATCTTTCCTTAATTTTAACTAAATATCTAACCAAGAAGGTTATAGTATAATATGTAAAACCCAATTAAATTACTCTTAAAAATATTAAGAAAATTGCAAATGTTGTAACATATATTAAAGATGAATGGTCCCGACGTGTCAGTTACTGTAACCAGACCTTATTCTCCATATTTTTATTTTTATTTGTCTCAAAAGTCAAAATAAGCGTTCATTTTCAGAAATATATAACTAAATTACTCTTAATTAATGCACAAATATTTTAGAGTTGTGGAATAGACAAATTAATTAGTTTATGGGAAAGTTATCATTTGGCTAACCAAAAAAGTAATATTTTTTTATGTATAAAATTGTATGTCATTTCTATTATCAATATTTATTTAGGATGGACGGAATATTAGTTTGTAAAAGATATGGAATAAAATTATATCAAAAAAGAAAATACAAAAAATATGGAATAAACTTTTATTTAAAAAAAATACATAACTCATTCATATGGAACAGAAGTTTACATATCTACTCAGATAACTTCAATTTCGCTATCGGTTTAGCCATCCCCACTTCCCTCATGTTCCTTTCTTTGTGCCTTTTGTTATGGGTACCAAGATCTACGTAAAAGTGATCCGAAAGCAGCCCGTTGATTAGCATCTTTTAGGTCCACGTGTCCACTATGAGGAAAGAAAACTCATTTTGCCAAATGATCCTGCATGATCCCTCTTCAATCATACTTCCTCAAAATCTACCGAATCTAATCTCGGTGTATCAAACACTTATTCGAATAAGCGTTTATCAAGTGACATTACCTTACCGATATGATAGGTACCAAAAATCTTACCCGGAAAAAATGAGACAGGGACCAAAAATCTTACCTGGTAAGTGAGGCAACAATTTTTATCATTGTTATCACTTACCGGATAAATTATTGCATACAATGTCATTTTTATCGACTAAAATCTTACCTGTTAAATAAATGATAGAATTGAATTTTATCAGTAATCACTTACCCTGTAAGTGTTTGGTGAACAGCCACTAAACTTCCTTACAACGAACAAAAAACGACCTTTTTGACAATTACAAATGAGCATTATAAGATCTTAAATATGTCTAAATATCCTATGCTTAATATATTGTTTTATTGGACTTACGTTTATAAGATCAAACAATTATATGTTATATATAAAGTGTCACAACAAAACGTTATAACGTATTTGGGCCTTCCAACAAGTTTTTAAAGATACTTATGAAATAGAAGTGTCCAATTGACTTTTGTATATAACAATTTTGAGAAGTGTCCAATTTGTATAAATTAGTTATATATTAAAGCATAAAACGTTGCTCTTTTCCCAATTTTACAAAGTATCAAATTGGATTCATCGGAAAAAAAGGGGGAAAACTTGCATTAAAAACTCAACCTCTAAATCTATCAGACAGTATACGACTGCTGAATCGTTTCTATATCGATACCCTTTAATCTAACCACAGATTCAACATGCCCCTTCAACGTGTGCAGCTCTCTCAACCTGTAAACAACAGCATTAGAAAACACAAAATCGAGAAATCAAACCTTTGTGAAAATAAAGCCAACTGCACCCAGTATATTTGACAAGGAGATGGCATCTGAGGAGGGTAAGAAGTAGGCAGACCTTACCTCTACCCTATGCAACAGAGGGTTTATGTGAAAACAATTAATAAACCTTAACATTGTCAAAAAGCTAGAAGTCAAGTCTTACTTTGCGATCTCTGCTCTTCGTTTGGCTTCCTCCGCCATCTGGTTGAGCTCCGTGACATTCGTTCGATCACCAAACATTTTTGTGTCGGGAACTTCAAGTCCGTGAAGCGTTCTTTGCGCATGAGCCCATTGCAGCTCCCGTTGTTCCTTCCCAAAATCCTTTTGTCTTGTGAATGCAATCTAAGAAAACATACGTATGTCTTAAAATCATGGATCGATATGCTAATTTTAGCCATTTTTGGCAAAAAAAAAATAACAAATAGCCGTTTTTTCAACAATCACCAAACTAGACGACAATTTCGTAAATTTGCGGAATCACCGTTTTTGAATTTTTTTCGTCGGATGGTTGGCCATGATCTAAGCCGAAAAGCACCTTTTCGGATTTTTTGCAGAGATTACCGAGTCAATTTGCAGAATTATTGGCTAGTTATCGATAATGTTTTAAAAAACGGCTACTTAATGAATTTTTATATTTTTGCCAAAAATGGCTAGTTTGATGATTTTCCCTTTTTAACGCATACCCTCCTCTCGATAACAAGGTCCCAGGCCCGGCCACTGAGCGCATAACGGATGAAGAACTTGATGAGATCGAGCGGGAAGTAGAAGATGATATTGTAGAGCCAGATAACACCGGCCCAGCCCCACCCAATTCCTTCTACTGCGGCAAAACTCCAGTTTGCATACACCGCGATTAAAGTAGCAATCTGTTCGTAATAGAAATCAACTAAGAATGGTTAGGATCGGTGAAAAGAAACAGAAAAGGCATTGAAAGTGTTACACACCAATTGGGCAACCGCAAAGGCCGTGACAAGCAGCCAACCAGGTCGTTCGACAAAGGACCAACTACGAGATCGTGTTACGAATATGAGTGCCTGGCTGATCGTGCTGACTTGAAGATATATGGCTGAAGCTAGCTTTCGGAAGTCGTCATGAGCTGTTTTCTCAAGCGTCGTTACTCCAAATGTACGCTGCCAACATAAAATGGAGATCCATAATAAGGCTATGTTTGGAAAACTGGAGCATAAGCTGGCTGTTAGCTGAAATTTAGATGTTGACTAACAGTATCTCCAACAAATTCTCGAAGACAAGAGTGGAAGACCCCTCTGGTGCTTATTGAATTGCTACTTGAAGTAACGTTCCAAAAAGTTAGTTGATGGCTAACCAATTGGGACTTTTTCAATAATCTAAAAGAGTAAGTTAGCTTATAAGTCAAGCTTATGTTTGCCAAACATGGCCTATGACAACATGATTATATCTATATCTATCTCTATATTCGCTAATGTAGGATGCAAATACGGATATTGCATGAACTTAAATGGATTACATCCCTCGTAAAACCAAATCGAGCGTGCAGAAACATACCGGGAAAAAGTCCGTTTTGTATGCCGCCCAAAAGAATATGACGGTCATCATCGCCAAGTAACTACCAAGAATGACACCCGTTGTAAAAATCTCGGCTAATTTCCAGCTATCTGGAAGAGGAGACGGCTTTACTCGATCTTTCGATATCGTCATTATGGTACCTGGCACGGAACGTAATTGCTCATCAGATGATTACCATCAAACAAATATTCAAAGCAAGTAACTCAAAAATCAGAAATATGAGAACAAACCGTCATTAAGGATAGCAATTATAAGCACCATAAAAGGCGGGAAGTCGAACTTCCATATTAACGCCAGCAGCATAAAACCAAGCTGTCACAATGGCACCAAAATCGTATAAGATTCATTCGCATGTGTTTAGTGTTTGGGGTTTAGGGTATAACAAGATAACTTACCACAATCCGAATTGTAATAGAAACAGCATAAATCTGCCAAAAGAAAGAATATAATTAGGGTCGATTAAATGTTTTTTACTATCGATACAACTATATAGTGGCACATAAACGACACTTTACCGTGTAATTCTTCATCCTCTGGAAGATGGCTCGACTGGTCAAGACGGCGCTAATGATAACACTGAGTCCTGGTTCAGTGAGGACGATGTCTGATGCACCACGGGCTGCATCGGTAGCATCAGCCACGGCGATCCCGATATCGGCCTTTTTAAGGGCAGGAGCATCATTAACGCCATCACCCGTCATTCCGCAAATGTGTTTCCGGGCTTGTAACCGTTTTACTATTTCGTATTTGTGTTCTGAGACATATTTCGGTTAGAATCGATATTTCCACACCACGAAAGAAAAAGGAGAAGATCGAACAAGTATTTACCAGGGAACACGCCAGCAAAACCATCGGCTTTCTCAATTAGTTCATCGATCGGTAAAGCAGCAATCGACTCATCGGCATGTTGGCCGAGTAAAGCAGATGAAGGATACATGTTTGTTCCCATTCCTAGACGGCGGCCCGTTTCTTTCCCGATCGCCAGTTGATCCCCTGTTCCAAGTCAAATAGAGAATTCGAACATAGATTTCAATACATATTTAACACAAATATTTTCGGGTTAGTTCAATTTACTATAAATTTCAACGAGATGATCAAAAATTTCCAAAAACATCGATTGTTTTAACCAAAATAAATGAGCCCAATATATCCCACTCGAAGTATATAGCGCTCGAAGGCCGGGTCCTTTTTCTTGGGGCAGTAGAGTGGTTGTATCTGTGAAGATCCCACCTAGCGAAATGTGTGCGAGAGAGGAAGAAAATCATATATGCTAAATGTTTTGAAAATTCAGATGTATACAAATAACCAAAGGGTCATTGGCCCGACGGAACCCGGTTAATGATAGAGCCTAGCCTTCCAGGAGGTCAAGATAAAACCTCACCATAGATGAGAAGTGTGAGTGAGTATTTGTCGTATATAAATATTATATACTTAAAAAAAAGCACAAATAGTAACAGAGTACGACAGATGTGATAAATTTTGAGAAACCAAGTATGAGTAAGCAACAACAATATAAATAGAACTGACCTGTAATCATTTTAACATTTACTCCAAGATCCAAAGCCCTTCGAATCGTATCAGCACTATCGTGCCTCGGTGGATCAAAGAGAGGCATGAGACCTATAAACTGCCATGGCCCTCCGGCGCTATCTTTCCGTCCCTCGGGAACGTCCTAATTTCACGTAAAACAAATACCCTCAAGCAATACTATACAAACAAAAGTCAAAAAGGCAATTGGATCAACAATTTGATGCTATTAATCACCTGGTAAGCTACAGCAAGTGACCGTAAACCTCGGTCTGCAAACTTGCCAATGATGGAATGAACTCGGCGTTCAATATCTGATTTGTTGTGTGCAAGATTCAAGATCTAGGCCATATTGAAAAAGAATAGAAGATATTAACAATGGTGGACCGAAATTTGAAGGTTTCTATTCAACTCAAATGTCACATCACCTGCTCGGGTGCACCTTTGCTGACTCTATGCATTTTACCCTCGTTGTCCAAATACGTTAAGGCTGTGCGTTTATCCGTAGGGTTAAATGGCAAAAAGTGCAGTTCTTGAATGCCAGCTCGTGCCTAAAACACGAAGAAGAAAATCTAAAGCTGCTAACAGTAAGAAAATCAAGAAACGCACGTTGTTCCATATAGTCGGCCCTTCATAAGATTACCTCCTTTGGATCAGCGAGCATACCAACTATAGCAGCATCAATTGCATCCTGGTTTTCAATTCTGGAGGCTCGAGCCGACATCAAAACGACAGTATCTGCATCTACACCTTTCGCAAAGACCTGAGAGATCACGTCAAACAAAAGGAGGTTAATAAATCACTAGATGTGTTTACCCATCATATGCAAATGGGCAAATTGCATGAAAAAGCAACATATTCGATTCCTATTTTGTGTAACGTACTTCCAAAACCTTTATTTCGGCACCTCTGATGTGACATCTCAAACATTTAGGTACTTTGGTTTACATCTGAGAATTAATGTACTTTAGTCTAAATGTTTGAGATATCACATCTGAGGTACCGAAATAAAGGTTTTGAAATTACATTATACATAACATGAATAAACCAAAGTACGTTGTTTGCCATATGGGAATTTGGGCACACCTATGAACTGACCTCGATAAGGTTCTTATCAACAGTGAGCTTGTTTAGTGTTAAAGTTCCTGTTTTGTCACTGCAAAGCACGTCCATGCCCGCCATTTCTTCTATGGCCGTCATTCTTTTCGTAATGGCTCCCTATAGTAGTAATAAACGATTACCAGATTGTCTCAAAATGATTGTGATTTTCGAAAAAGCATGTGTAACAAAGCAAACCTGCTGAGCTAATCGATGAGATCCAATGGCCATTGTTACAGAAAGAACGGTCGGCATAGCAATAGGGATTCCTCCAATAAGAAGCACAAGGAGATTGTCTATTCCGGGCCTATATTTCCTATCTTGAATTGGGAACATGACTATAATCTCGATAAGCATGCCCACGGCAATCGAGCAAATGCAGAAGTTACCGATGGCTGTCAAGACCTAAGCAAGATAGCATGAATGGATGAACATGAATAAAGACTTTTTAATGGTTTAGAACATAGAATACCCGTTTATAGATACATCAACACCACACTTTATTTCCTTCGATTGGTGCCAAGTTTAACTCTTTTAGGGTTTTAATTTGATATGGGTAGGTTACTAATTTACCAATCTTGTCTCATCCCCTAATTTTTGTTCCACCAATGTTGGATCGTGTCACGTCCCTGTCTAAATGTCGCACCAAACGCAGGACAACAAGTTTATGTCTTGTTCATCCCATCAAACGCACCCCAAGGGCTATTTTAAAGAGTAATCTATTAGGGTCTCACATATTCTCACAAGCAAAACCAAACATCAAAGAACCAAACTATGCTGTTAATATCGCGATATATCGTCGATATATCGGCGATATATCGGATATCGGACCTAGGCAAAATATCGCTGCATAAATATAGGGTTCGATATTATCGGTGATATTTTCCGATTGTTCCCGATATTTAGCGATATTTTGATGCATATATCGGACCGATATATCGATTTTTTAGGGTTCAATTATTTGGGCTTTTGTTATTTCATGGGCTTAGTTTTTTGGGCTTTGTAACATACATTAGGTCTGAAATTAATAGTCCGCCTTCCAACGGTCTTCTTCCTTTCTTTTCATCTTTACGACTTCACACTTCACAGGCACCCAGTTCACTTCACAAATCACGACTTCAGACTTCTCACAACTTCAGACTTCTCACGGAGTCACGGTTTGGCTTCTTTTCTCGGTCTCTCTTCTCGGTCTCCTCGGCTTACCAAGTTGCTACAGCCACAGCAGCAACTGGCAGCAACTGTTGGCGTTGAAGATGAAGGGGAAGAAGAGGAAGATTGGGAAGCTAACCTAAACGAAGAAGTGAATGTATTGGATGATGTTAACTCGGATGCCGAACCTATTGCTTGCGATTAGCTCGTTTTTTAACACTTTAGATGATGTGATGTTTTAATTTTGAAACTATATTTCTAAACTTTAATTAATGCATATTATATATATAATTCTAAGAAATATTATGTTAACCGTTATTTTGGACCGATATATCACCGATATAACCGATATATTGGTCCTGACCGATATTTTGTATTCTGACCGATATAACAGCATAGGAACCAAATAGTAAAAACGGCATCTTTTTACGAGCTTGCCTTTTGAAAGTGACCGACTTGATTGGTTGTGTCAACAAGATGAGCAGCTTTTCCAAAGAAAGTATGAACTCCGGTGGCAATTACAACCGCCTCAATCTCACCCTGCTTGCAAGTAGAACCAGAATAGATACCATCCCCCGGGCCTTTTGTCACGGGAAGTGATTCACCTGTTAAAGCAGACTACAAAACCCCCAACAAGATTGACTCGGTTCAAAATGCCAAAAGATTGTTCAAGAAACGATTTCAACAATCGTAAATGTTTACCTGATCAATCTTTAAAGGATCACCATCAAGCAAACGAGCATCTGCAGGAATAATATCTCCGAGTTTTATACTAATTACATCCCCAGGAACTAGAATCGCAGCATCTTCCTCATTCCATCTTCCATCTCGTAGAATCTGGAATATAATCAATCAAAAGCAAATCCAAAAACACCATCAACTAATCTACAAGTAGGTTCATTAACTCAAATTCAAAACAGTATATGATCTAACACAATGTTGTCAGGAGAAAAAAGAAAACCTTCGCTTTCGGGGCCAATCGAGCCATAAGAGCTGCTGCAGCGTTGCCGGCGTTGTTTTCTTCAACGAAACTAATGGCAGAGTTTATGAAAAGCAAAATAATGATACCCACAAAATCCTGCCAGTCAGGAGGCTTTCCCTGATACAGTTTTAATAAATTCAGCAAGATAATTAAGCATCTTGAGCAATATTTTGTTGTGGGAATAAGTTATTAAGGTCTTACTCCTCCATTGGCAAGAGCAATCGCCATTATAGCTGCAGCTTCCATGACCCAAGATAAGGGATTCCACATAAACCCTAAAAATTTCAAGAATTTGCTCTCCTGAAAAATCCCACATCATAACAAGAAATTGGAAAATCACAAAAATGTTGGATTGAAAAAAAAAAGCACAAAGTTTAAACCTTGGGTATACCTTCTTCTCTTCGAGCTTGTTATGCCCAAAAATGGCTAATCTTTCTTGAGCAGCAAAACTGGTGAGACCTTCGTTGGTACATCTGAGATTCTCAAAAACTTCTTCTATGGGGATGCTTTCCTGCATAAATTAATCAACCCCAGTAAATAAAAACAAAAACCCACAAACAAAAAACAAGTTTAGTGATCAAACAGATCCATTACCAAATCTACAGTCTCCTTCAACACAGCTTCAAGAACTTCAGCTTTCTCTTCCCCCATCACCTCAAGAACAGAGCTTTACCACAAAAGATTATGTAAAAGATCGAATCAGAAGAAAACCTAGATGAAAAACACAAATTATTCTTCAAGATTCGTTTAAAAAAGGACTTCCCAGTTCCCACCTATACCAAATCTACAAGGAGAATGGCCAATGAGATAGATATATATATATATATATATATATATATAACTAGAACCCTACACCTTCTCCTCTTTGTGATAGTCGAACAAGCTTGATATTTGAGCCTTTGGACCGTTGTTGTTGTTGTACGGTTGATATTTTGAGCCTTGGACTCTTGTTGTACGGATACTTCTGTCTGATGCATCGACGGTTGTACGTATTATGGTGTGTGTGGGTCCCAATGAAAATTCCTTTTTACCGGAAAAAAGGAACTTTATTCGTTTTCCCAGGAAAGAAAAGGGAAAATGAAATCTTGACCTTTTGTGTATCTACAACTTCTATTCTGTACATCAAAATAAACTTTTATTTGGTAAATATTTATTAGATAATTTTTTTCATTGGATAAACATGATAAGGATTAAGAATCATATTTGATAAGAGCTATGATAAAATAGATAAGTTATTGTATATGATATCGTTTTGATGTACTACAATCTTATCAGATAAAAATAAATTATAATGTTTATTCCTACTGATAAGCACTTACCGAGTGAACATTTGGGTAAACGGCCCCTAAGAGTTGTACGTGAAGGTGTAGCTCACAAGGAATAGTACAAGAATCTCGAATATTTATTCCGCATCACCTTGTGAATTAAAGTATCTTTTTCACCATTTAGGTTATGTTTTTGGATTATGAGGATACATAAAAATGCGAACAAATTTGTCAATTTAACCCGAAATAATTAAGTCTAAACTCACATGATATATATTCAAGTTGTAAATTTTTAAATTGTGCATATTGAGTTATGTTTATTTGAACTCGATCTAATCCGAAAACCTTTTATATGTTAGCTTTTTCTTTAAGTGTGTTCACAATTTCACTTGTAATTTTACTTCCTATTTGTAATAATCTTCGACGCTTTTATTGGTGTTAGCCTGGCCTTTTCTTTGTTCCTATATAACACAAAAAGTCTATTAATCTGTGGTAGAGACTAATGATTGTTTAAATTTATTACTGCAATCAGCAAACGGGTCCAAACTTTTTGCCAATGGTGTACCTTTAAAGTGGATTAAAGGTATGCAAAATTGTCCGAGCTTTTTTTTGTGAATTTCACCATTTTGAAATATCTTTTTTCTTGGTTGATTTTAAGGGATTTTTCAAGTTTTTGGTTGATTCTAAGAAATTTTTTCAGTTTTTTATTGATTTCAATAGACTTTTTAGTTGGCTTTAAAGAGTTTCTTGGTTTTTTGTTTAATATTTTTTATATATTTTAATATCTTGAAACATCCCTCAAAGTTTAGCATATGCAATTTTCATACCCATGAAAAACTTGTTGGAAAAATCAGGTAAACATGTCCATCATTGGAGCCTTCGTAGGTCCTCCCCTAACTGCAATGTTGCTATTACATCACATCCAGACCAACATAACCTCCATGGGTTGTACATTGCTCGGTCATGCTTTAAATATTATTTTAACAGGTTGAAATTTTTCAAATATAATTAGTTGGATTGAGATGGTTCAAATGCTTTTAAACTGACAAATCTAACCATCATTTCTAAATTTATCTTATTTGGTAATTCATAAAAAAGTTAAACAATTCAAAATCATTTTAGAAGATTTTGTTTTTTATTTATTAATTATTATGCATCTTATGTATCAAAAGTTAAACAATTCCTTAAAATGTTTTTTTATGTAATTTTATATTATAAACTAATTTTTATCAAAAAAAATTGCTTCTATCAACATTAAAATCATGATTTCGGGTCGTTTACTAACTGCTTACTGGGTAAACGCTTACCGGGTAAGCGTTTAACAACAAAGATTACCACCCTTACTTACCTTTTAAGATGACATTCTCGGCCATCAAAATGGTATGTTGGTAGTGTGTTTATCTAGTGAGCACAGTAAGAGTATTTTTCCTTATTTATTGGGTAAAATTATCAGTCTTTATCATGCTTATAACGGGTAAGATTCTTAGTACTTGTCATGCACATTCAATAAGATAAGCGACACCAGGTAAGCACTTACCGAGTAAGCATTTTGTAAACAGCCTATTCGATCAGTATTTTCAACGGTTTATGTGAATAGTCAATTTTTTTTTAAATTATATATTGGACAAAATATTATATTTGTTTGTGAAGAGAAAATTTTAAAATTATATCATGGATGTCACCAACTATTTTTTAGGATTTAAATAAATAATATTTATTTTTCAATTGTTTTTTGGCTTTTCTGCGCCACCATTTACTATTTATATTGGGAAATTGTAGCATATTTTATTTTGATTTTTAATTAATTTATTTAACATTTTTTATTTTTCTCCAAATAGAAAGACGCCACCTACTTTTGCACCTTCCCACCTCGAACATCTATTCCGACCATTGATGCATATAATATATATACAAAATATATTTCAAATATAATTATGTCTATTTTGATCACGTAAGATCAACCTGTTTTTATAAGATATGTGAGATCATTTTTTACACTTAAAACTTCACAGCAAAACTCTGTGAATGTAACTTTCACAGTGTTTTTGTTACGAAGGTTTGACTTTTTTTTACTTTAACAACGTTTTGATGTAAAATTTCAAGTGTAAAAAGTTGATCTCACGCATCTCACGGCAACAGGCTAGTCTTACGTGATACCAACCACATATATATATATATATATATATAGAGAGAGAGAGAGAGAGAGAGATGAGCGTTCAAATAAAAACCACTCAATTATGGCGTTGTTTGCAAGTAAATAAAACGTCTACCCTTTAAATTATGGCGTTGTTTGCAAGTAAAAATGATATTTTGATAACCAAATGAAAAATACGAAGGTTGAAGCCTATAAATATCATCCATCAGATAGGTTTTTTTTAAGAAATAGTTCATCTTTTAAATCTCAAAAGAATGTGAAGACTTTGTTTTGACAACTTCAGTCTTCATCTCATCTCTGAATGATCAACGGTATTTGTAAACATTAAAAATATCATAGTATTATATTTTTCAAACAAGAAAAAAACTATAAGGCGAGCTTATCGAAATAAAACTATGTAAAAGGACATGATGTATTGAATATTGAAATTATTTTGTGAGTTTAAGCAATTTATTTTATTTTTAATTATCATGTTGAATGTTGAAGTTGTAAAGGTTCAAAACTTGTAAACAATTGATCAAAATGTATACCTCTTAAAAATTCAATAATAACCGTTTAGCATGTTTTATAATATAATATAGATAGACTAGGGTGTAAATTAAGAAATATAAACAAATTGAATATAAGTTCTAAAAATAACTCACTACATATTTATGATATTTAACAAATTGAATATATGTAGTGACTCAGCTTAAGAATTCACTCGACCAAACTAGAGTACAAATCCCTCTTCGTACCTCTAGTTGTGGTGAGTTTGACTTCCTGTTTGAAGCTAAAAGACTCGAGGCACTCAAGGCTGAAGAAGAACTCAATCTTCAACGTCAACAGACTGAGGACAACCTAAAGCTGGCCAAGTCTCTTGCTGCTCAAGTTCTTCCAAAGAGAAAAGTCTAAAAAAATGGTGAATGCCATCAAGGCCCAAGCTAAGTTGCTTTTCATTGCAGAGGTTGAACATGAAAAGGCAATGAAGTTGAACGACAGAGACAGAAAATGGAGCGAATATCGTGTGAACAAGAGAATAAGTCCTCATCGCATCTCAAACGTCAAGATCAGTGGACGGATGAAAGATGGTGGACTTCTCCTCTCAATGCTCATCACTAAAGATAACCTTGAAGCTGTCATACAGTATCCTTCCTATCTAGGTCAATATGGAAAAAGTGAATGGCTGGAAATCTACCAAACCATTTAGCGCTCAAAGTCAAGACACAAACCACTGATTGAAGACATCCTCAGTGAGCTGATCAAGAAGATGTCCAAGTTCTTTGTTGTACCTACAAAGTCGTCATTTAAAAAAGGTGGAAGAAGAAAACCTTCAAGTCCTAAACATTTATCTAATAAATGTTTATTGAACAATTTTTTTACTGGATGAACATGATAATGATCAAGAATCTTACTTGGTAAGAACGATGACAAGGATGGAGAGTCTTACCCGATAAGTGAGGGTGACGACTCTTATCCGGGTAAGCGCTTACATGATAAGTTGTTGCATATGATACCCTTTTGATGTATTAATTACAATCTTATCAAATAAAAATAAATTATAATGTTGATTTCTACTTGTAAGCGCTTACCGAGTAAACATTTGGATAAATGGTCCCTAAGAATTGTACGTGAAGGTGCAGCTCACAAGGAATAGTACAAGAATCTCGAATATTTATTTCGCATCCCCTTGTAAATTAAAGTATCTTTTTCACCATTTAGGTTATGTTTTTGGATTATAAGGATACATAAAAATGCGAACAAATTTGTCAATTTAACTTGAAAATAATCCAGTAAATAAAAGTTAAAATATTCAATATTGGTTAATTTTAAAGGTGTTGAGGAAACTATTATTATTATATAATTTATAAAAAAAATGTATTTCATAATAATTTTAGTTCATATATGAGTATTTATTTTAATATGATAAATATATAAAATATAAAATAGAAAAATAAGTAGTATGAAACAAATTATATAACTAATTATAAGAGTATAAGTTGTAATTTAAAAATAAAAAATATTTTATCTTTAATATTATCTTGGGATGTGGAGATTTAAAATTATGGGTTCTAAAGCTTTAAATTTGTACATCAAGGGTGAAAAATAGAAATGAAAAAAATAAGAAATATAAAACAAATTAAATACGATAACTAAGTTAGATTGAGAATTTCTTATTGCTTTCTTCTCATCTAATAAAAACATCCGACGTATTCAAAGTCATACTGTGTTCTTATTTTTATTGAATATTTCGTTTGACCTTTCAGTTACATTGTTTTCATTCCATTCATATTTATTC